CCTCCAACTCCTGGGCTCAAGCGAGTCTCCTGCCTCCTCCTCCCAAGTAGCTGGGACCACAGGCGCCTGCCACAACGCCTGGCCATTTTTTGGTTGCATCCATCATTGTTGCTTGGCGGGCCCGGGCTGGGGATTCGAACCCGCCACCTTAGGTGTATGTGGCTGGTGCTTTAGCTGCTTGAGCCACAGGCGCCAAGCCCCTATTCTTTTTTTATTAAAACAGAGTTTCATTTTGCCACCCTTGGCACCCTCGATGTCATAGATCACTAGCTCACAGCAACCTCAAACTCTTGGGCTCAAGCAATTCTCTTGTCTCACCCTCCCCAGTAGCTGGGACTACAGGTGCCCACCACAATGCCTGGCTATTTTTAGAGATGGGGTCTTACTTTGGCTCAGACTGGTCTCAAACCTTTGAGCCCAGGCAGTCGCAATCCACCTTCCTAGGCCTCCCAAAGTGCTAGGATTATAGGTGTGAGCCACCATGCCTGGCTAAAATTTTTTTCAATTCAAATTTTAAATCCTTATTGTTGGGATCTGAAACTTTTCTTTCCTTAATGACAGGCTTACATTATAGCTTGTGTTTAGAGGGTATGAAAACTCACCTCTCCTAAATCTTATAAAAGTGCTTCCTCTCCCTGTGGGCCCAGACATTTCTTTGTGGGAGGCCAGAGGCTACTAGCCTTCTCTGTGTTGTAGCTAACCACTGGCTTTCCTCACTATAGCTGGAAACACAAAAGTCACAAAATGAGGCAATGTGTGAAGGACTCCGTGCTAAAATCCGTGAGCTCTGGGACAGGTTGCAGATACCTGAAGAAGAGAGAGAAGCTGTGGCCATGGTTATGACTGGGTCAAAGGCCAAGGTCAGAAAAGCGGTAAGAAACCCAGTGGATGCTGGTCAGCAGTATTCTGTGAGCATTTCTGTGTCTAGGTATCCAATCTGATGTCCTTACAGCCTATTTTTAAGATAAGCATCAGAAAGTACCTGCTTACCTTCTATCTTTTGCATATGGTTCTTAGATTTCTGGCTCCCCATAGTATCATTGTCATAAAGAGTATTGATTTACCTCTGTGGCCTTATGCTGTAATTTTTGTTTTTTCATTTTGGGGTTTTTTTTTTTAGATTTGGTCTCATTCTCTTGTTGTTTGGGCTAAAGTAGAGTGGCTTCATCATACCTCATTGCAACCTCAAAACTCTCCTGGGCTGAAGTGATCCTCCTACCTCAGCCTTCCTAGCAGCTGGAACTATAGGCACATGCCACACACTTGGCTGATTTTTGTACTTTTTATAGATATGAAGTCTCACTCTGTTAACTCAGGCTGGTCCTGAACTGCTGGCCTCAAATGATCCTCCCACCTTGGCTTCCCAAGTTGCTGGGAATAAAGTGTGATCCACTGTGCCTGGCTTCTGGTATAATTTTATTAAAAAGGGAAGAAACTGTTAGAAACAGGTGAATTTAAAAGTGTGACAGCCACTTTCAACAGGTCTCTTTCTTTCAGCTGCAATTAGAGGTGGATCGGTTGGAAGAACTGAAAATGCAAAACATGAAGAAAGTGATTGAGGCAATACGGGTGGAGCTGGCTGAGTACTGGGACCGGTGTTTTTACAGCCAGGAGCAAAGACAGGATTTTGCCCCTTACTACATTGGTTAGTACAAAAGTGGTAGTCTTCGTGTTCCCTGTTCACTGGTCTTTTACAATCCCAGACATTCAACAGGAAGTATTTCCTTTTCTGAACAGATACACCCACCTTTTCAGGCCATATCACATAGTGCCATTCCTGTACAAATAAATTGGGTAATATGGTGTCTGTTGCTTTCTGAAGCAATATGTCACTTAACCTCTACCTGATGATGCTCAAGTTTTCAGGTACCTATTCTGCGGCAGGCACCATGTCAAAACCTTAATGGTATTTTTTCTTTTCTTTTTTTTTTTTTTTTTAAGGGACAGAGTCTCACTTTGTCGCCCTCAGTAGAGGGCTGTGGGGTCATGGCTCACAGTAACCTCCACCTTTTGGGCTTAGGCGATTCTCTTGCCTCAGCCTCCTGAGTAGCTGGGACTACAGACGCCCACCACAATGCTCAGCTATTTTTTTTTTTTGTAGTTTGGCCGGGGCCAGGTTCAAACACACCACCCTCAGTATATGGGGCTGGCGCCCTACTCACTGAGCCACAGGCACTGCCCAACAGTATTATTTAATTCTCAGGTCGTGAGATGGGGACACTATGGCATGTAAATATTTAGCAACTTAGTCTAGAGCAGGCGTCCTCAAACTACGGCCCACGGGCCACATGCAGCCCACCTAGGACATTTATCTGGCCCGCCGGGTGTTTTTCCTCCTGGGGCCCATAGTCTAGCCCTCCAACAGTTTGATGGACAGTGAACTGTCCCCCTGTTTAAAAAGTTTGAGGACCCCTGGTCTAGAGGCATACAGCAGATAAATGCCAGGGCCTGTGTTGGAGTCCAAAGGAGTTTGACTCCTAGAGCCTAGTGGAGGTCTAGTCTGACCTCAACTGGATATAAAGATCAAGCTGTCCCAACTAAATTCAATAGACATTTTTGGAAATTTTTTATGACCTAGCCTTCTGTTGACTGGGTAAGGCAGAAAGGTAGAATGTGAAAGAAACCTAAGACAAGGCAGGATATGACATAGATTTTTTGAGAACATTAATCTTTTTAGTCCATACCTTTGTGCTAATTCCCCAAGGCTGATTGCAGCAAACCTGGCTTTTGTTAGCCATAGCATTTGTATTTTTTCCTATATCACTTTGTTATAAGGAAGAAAATTCTGTTTCCATTTTGGTGGAGTAAGGGATTAATAAATTGGGATATTAAACACTAGAGGAATTTTTTTAAACCACTAGGACTGGGCAACGCCTATGGCCCAAAGGAGTAGGGCACTGGCCCCATATGCCAGAGGTGGTGGGTTCAAACCCAGCCCCAGCCAAAAAAAAAAAAAAAAAACCACTAATCCTTAGTAAACTGTGGTGTATGTATACATGGACTTCTGTTCAGCCATATAAAAAGATAGAGACTTTATATCTTTTATATTAACCTGTATGGAGTTGAAACACATTCTTCTTAGTAAAGTATCACAAGAATGGAAAAGCAAATATCCAATATACTAAATACTAACATGAAGCCAGTAGATGAACTAATATATGCCCACACAAGAGAAAAACTCCAAGTTGGAGGGAGAAAAGGGGAGAGGATTGGTGCTCCCACCTAATGGGCACAATGTAAGGGTGTGTGGTACACCTCCTGGGAGAGGGACACAACTACAACAGGGACTTTACCTAACAAATGCAAACATTGTGACCTAATTGTTTGTGCCCCATATTAATCTGAAATTAAAAAGAAAAAAACAAAATACTAGGCCTATATTTTACAGAGGACTTCACAGAAGATCTGCTCCAGATCCATGATGCTGAGGTTGTGAAGTTAAAAGATTATTATGAGACTCATAAAGAGCTCTTTGAAGGTGTTCAGAAGTGGGAAGAAAGCTGGAAGCTTTTCTTAGAGTTTGAGGTACTGCCCAGTTTTTATCTGTTCTTGTTTCTCTAGAGTAAGATAAAGTGTAAGAAAGCATGCCTAGTCAAGCACAGTGGCTCACACCTGTAATTCCAGCACTCATTGAGGCAGAGGTGGGTGGATCCCTTGAGCTCAGGAATTTGAGACCAACCTGGCCACGAGTGAAACCTCATCTCTATTAAAAATAGAAAAACTAGCCAGGTATTGTGGCAGGCTCCTATAGTCCCAGCTACTTAGGAGGCTGAGGCAGGAGGATCACTTGAGCCCAGGAGTTTGAGGTTGCTATGAGCTATGATGACATGGTACATGGACAACGGAATGAAACTCTGTCTCAAAAAAATCATGTCCTATACAGAACCATAATCCAGTTCCCTTTGTTCTTTTTTTTTTTTTTTTGAGACAGAGCCTCAAGCTGTCCCCCTGGGCAGAGTGC